GCAGAATCGCTAGAGGAAGGGCTGCAGATGTTCACTTGGATTATCTCGAATTTCCTGTGACAATCAAGACTTCCTTTTCCTGGGCCCATCTGGGGACATGATGACCTGTGACAGGCACAGTGACGCCACCCTCACAGAACAGCATTCAACTTTCCACCAACAGAAGGTGGAGTGTTCCTATTCCTCTGTCCCATGGAGCATCAAGTTCTTGGGGAATCCAGAAACCTGCCATCTGAGGGTACGGACACTCATGTAAGCATTTCAGAGCTGCTATTCCTCTTGTCACAAGTACCACAGGAAGTCCATAGCCCTTGTCTCTTGTGCCTTTGGGTACTGAGGTCACTTGCTGGAAGGACACGGGGTCAGTGCCCTCTGCACACAGACAGCCCTTCTTAGCTGAGGCCTCAGTCGGAAGCTCACCCACTGGGAGACCCCTGCACTCTCAGCCGTGTGTTCTGGACCTCAGACCAGCCCCTGACTCTCCACCCCACTGCTGCCCACAGACCCCTCAAAGGGCTGCCGGAATGTCCAGGTTCATCTGGGCCATGTGGGGACTGAGCATCTCCTGGGGCTGGGTGACTTGCAGGCCTCCCCTGACCTCAGCATACCCCACTGACCAGCTGTGGCTATTCGTAGGTAGGTGGGGGCATCCATGGTGGGACCCCCTTTCAGTGGTCCCTCTGTCGTGGATGTTATACGAGGTTCCTGGGGCTGCCATAGCATAGTACCCCAACCAGGCAGCTTTTAACAACAGAAATGGAGGGTTTGGGTTTAGATGCCTGTTGAAGGAACCACTGAGCTAGAGCCAGTCCAGAAATGGAAGGTTTTGGGAGCCAAAAATCTGAAATCAGTGGTGAGCAGGGTCATGTTTCCCTCTGAAATCCGGGGACAGTTCTTCCTTGCGTCTTCTAGGTGGTTGGCAATCTTTGAAGTCCCTTGGTTTACAGTTGCCCGACATCACGTGGTGTTCTCCCAGCGTCTCTGTCTTCATGTGGCTGACTGTAAGGACATCAGGCATATTGCAGTAGGTCCCTCCCTACTCCAGTGTGACCTCACATTAACTAAACACATCTGCAACAACTCTGTTCCCATGCTCTGAGGTACTGGGGCTTAGGTCTTCAACATCTCTCTTTTGAGGGGACATGATTCAGTCCATAATAGCAACCCTCAAGGATCTGGGGACTGAGATTTTCTTCTCGTTCCCTGAGTAGTCTCATGGTCAAGCTTAGCAGCAGGCAGTCCCATCTTGCATGCTCTGAAAAGAACACATTGCCCAGGAGGAAGTCTCTCTAGCTCCAGGGTGCACGTGGATGACCTGGGGTCTCACTAGGTGCACGATCAGATTCACCAGGCCTGGGGAGGGAACCAGGATTCTCCCAAGTGAGGCCCATGCTGCTGGACAGGGAGCCACCCAGTCAATAGCACAGGGCTAGTCCATGAGGCCTTGCGAAGGAGGCCAGGCCCCTCCTGCCCCAGGGAGAGGTGGGAGGCTGCAAGATTGATGTGCTTCTAGGCAGAAATTAGAATGCTCCAGCCTAATAGCCACTGAAAAACAGTCTCCCTGCTGCAAATGGATGGTTGAACCTGCTCCAAGCTTTATACTGGCAGCTGCTGGCCAGATTCTGGGGAGGGAGGAAGGACACATGGAGCTGCCAGCTCAGGGGCCCCTCATCATTCCTGCTATGTTAGCCCTGATTCCATCCAATCCCAGGCTTTCATTTCTTTGGGGAAATACCTGAGAAATGGGAGTTTGCTGGGTCAAATGGTAAATGTATGCTTAACTAATTTTAAATAAAGTATTTATTGACATTCAATCCACATACCATAAAATTTTCTTTCAAAGTGTGAAATTTGGTGGTTTTTAGTAGATTGACATAGTTGGGCAATCATCACTGTCAAATTGCAGGGTATTTTCCCAGCATGAGCTGTTCAACAAAATACGAATTTACCTATGACAGCCCCTTGCAGAGAACGAGGAGCTCTGTACTCATTTAAGCCTCAAGGCATGAGTCTGATTAAATCCTCATTTTGCACATGGGGAAACTGAGTCATGGAAGTTCAGAGTTCCTCAGGGTCACCCCGCTAGTCTGTGGCAGATATGTACTTCACACTGACGCCCAAAGTGTCTTTGACCTTGAGGTGGCCATCAGCTCTGCCCAGTCGTGGGTGACTGGCTCTGAGCAGCTGAGGGGGTGAGAGGTGCTGCAGGGAGTCAGGCCACAGTTCCCAAGTGGGAGTTGGTGTCCCACCTCCTCCCAGTGGGGAACAAGGCTGAGGGCCAGGAAGCAGCAAGGAGAGTCCCGTGGAGTCTCTCTCCAGGTGGGTGAGGGTTCCTCTGGTGTCAGGAAGCCCCAGGCAGCAGCTGGGGCCTCACTGCTTGGTCATCCTCCTGCTCCAGCTCAAAAGGACTTTGAGACATTGGGAAGGAGCCACACGCTAAGCCAGAGGCCCCTTGGGCAGTGCTCAGCTCCACCCTTCCTTCCCTCTTCTCTCTGTGCCCTGGAGCCCCCCCAGCCCTCCCCAGGGGGCTGCCCTGCTGGCCACGTGAGCAGCACACAGAAGATGGGACCAGAGGGCCCCATTATCTCTCCACCTTTGTTTTCTGCGTGCCTGGGCTTGTCCCCAGACACCTCTAGCTCCACTCTGTGGCTCTGCTCTGTTGCCTGTCACCTCCTGAAGACAGTGCCACATGCTCCACCACTCATTAACTGCAGGAGGAGCGTGTCCCAGTCCTTTCAGAACCACTTCTCTGCCGTCTCTTCTGGAAGCCCTGCTCCCTGGGCACGAGCTGTGGAGCCCTAGGGCTCATTTGGTTGTGAGATGTTGCATGAGTAATTTTTTCTTTTTGAACATTGTAGTATGATTTACATACAACGGAAGGCACAGATCTTTAAACCTAGAGCTTGATGAGTTTTGACAAATGCATTCATCCATGTAACCTGCACTCCTCTCACGATATGGAACCTTTCCATCACCTAACCCTGCCCCCAGCCCCTTTGCAGCCAATCCTTGCTCAGCCCATCAGCTTTTCTGCTGTACATTAGTTCTGACTCTTCCCTAACTTCATAAATGCATTTACTTAATGACTGATAGTTTTTTTTTATCTTATTGGTTATTTAAAATTAGTGTGTGAGTGTGTGTGTGTGTGTGTGTGTGTGTGTGTGTGTGTGAAGGGTTTGGTTCAAGTCTGCCCATTTCTTTTTTTTTAAATTTTAAATTTATTTATTTATTCTGATTTGTTATACATGGCAGCAGAATGCATTTCAATCCATAGTACACACATAAAGCACAATTTTCATGTCTCTGGTTGTTCACCAAATAGAATCACGCCATTCATGTCTTCATACATGTACTTAGGGTAATAATGTCCATCTCATTCCACCGTCTTTCCTACCTCCGAGCCTCCTCCCTTCCCCTCCCTCCCATTTGCCCTATCTTAAGTTCCTCCATTCCTCCCATGCACACCACGATCCCCATTATGGATTGCCATTCACATATCAGAGAAAATATTTGGCCTTTGGTTTTTGGGGGGATTGGCGTATTTCACTTGGCATTATATTCTCCAGCTCCATCCATTTACCCGAAAATGCCATAATTTTATTCTCTTTTAATGCTGAGTAATATTCCATTGTGTATATATACCACATTTTCTTTATCCATTCATCTACTGAAGGCCATCTAGGTTGGTTCCACAATTAGCTATTGTAAATTGTGCTGCTATGTTTACTGATGTGGCTGCATCCCCCTAGTCTGCTGTTTTTAAGTCCTTGGGATATAGACCGAGGAGTGGGATAGCTGGGTCAAATGGTGGTTCCATTCCAAGTTTTTCAAGGAATCTCCATACTGTTTTCCATAGTGGTTGCACCAATTTGCAGTCCCATCAGCAATGTATGAGTGTGCCTTTCCCCACCAAATCCTCACCAATCTATGATTGTCTATTCATTTTTTTTTTTGTATTCTTAATAGCTGCCATTCTGACTGGGGTGAAATGAAAGAGTAGTTTGGATTTGCATTTCTGTAATTACTAGAGATGTTGAACATTTTTTCACATATTTGTTGATTGATATCTTATTCTGAGAAGTGTCTGTTCAGTTCCTTGGCCCATTTACTGATTGGGTTATTTGTTTTTTTGAGTGTTAAGTTTTTTGAGTTCTTTATATATCCTAGAGATTAGTGCTCCCTCTGATGTGCATGTGGTAAATATTTACTCCCATTCTGTAGGCTCACCTCACAGATTGTTGTTTTTCCTGAGAAGAAGCTTTTCAATTTAAATCCATCCCATTTATTCATTCTTGCACTATACAAGTCTTATTATGAAGGGCCTACTTTTTCTTCTATTAAACACAGGGTCTCTGGTTTAATTCCTAAGTCCTTGATCCACTTTGAGTTGAGTTTTGTGTATGGTGAGAGATGGGGCCTTAATTTCATTTTACTGCATATGGATTTCCAGCTTTCCCAGCCCATTTGTTGAAGAGGCTATCTTTTCTCCAATATATGTCATTATATGTTTTTGGTGCCTTTGTCTAGTATGAGATAGTGTGAAGGGTTTGGTTCAAGTCATCCCATTTCTTAAAAAAAAAAAGTCTGTGTGTACACACCACACACACACGTATATGTATGTATGTATGTGAATATATATATATATATATATGTATATATATATATATATATATATATTATATATATTTTGGGCACTGGATACTGAATCCAGAAATGCTTAACCACTGAGTTATTGAGCTCTTTTTTATTTTTTAAATTTTGAGACAGGGTCTTGCTAAGTTGCTCAGGACCTTGCTAAGTTGCTGAGGCTGGCTTTGATCCTCCTGCCTTGACCTTCTGAGTCTCTGGGGTTACAGGCTTGCATCACAGTGCCTAGCTTTAAAATATTGTTTTAAAATGAACTGTAGGAATTCTGTGTATATTCTGGATATTAGTCCTTTGCAACTCTGTTATGAATATTTGACTCCCAATCTATGATTTGTCTATTCATTTTTTTTTTTTGGTGGTACTGGGGGTTGAACCCAGGGACTTGTGCATGCAAGGCAAGCACTCTACCAACTGAGCTATATCCCCAACCCTGTCTATTCATTTTCTTAATGTGTTTCAAAAAGCAGGAGTTTTAAATCTTGAAAAGATCCAATTTATCTTTTTCTCTGTATTGATGCTATTTATATCCTTCCTAGGAAATCGTTGCCTAGAAGAGGTTGCAAAGGCAGTCCCTTATAGTTTCTTCTTTAAAGTTTGTAATAGCTTTAGGCTTTGACATTAGGTGCATATAACAACTTGAATTAGTTTTGTGTGAAGTAGGGACCGAGGTTCTTTCCTTTCCTTCTTTTATTGTACAGATAATCAGTACTTTTTGCTGGAAAAACTTTTCTTTCTCCATTGAATTACTTTGCCACCCTAGTTATTTCTTACTAATGACACAGTACAGTCAGCTTTCAGTGTAGGCAAGGGATTGCTTCTAGGACCCACCCTGGATATCCAAATGCCTGAGGCTCAAGTTCCTTAGCTAAAATGGCATAATGTTTATGAAACCTACACACATCCTCCTGGATGCTCTCAATCATCTTTACATCACTGATAACATCTAATGCAACATAAAAGCTATGTAAATAGGTAGTACCCCAATTATTTAGGGAATGAGAAGAATAAGGAATCTAAACATTCAGTACAGATATCATTTCTTGTTTAGAATATTTTCAGTTCTCTGATGGAGGAATCCCTGGATATGGAGGGCCGACAGTATGGATACAGATGATTTAAGTGATATGCTCTTGATAGATTAGAGCCTGTGTAAGAGAAGACTTCAGAGATTCCCTCCTGATGAAGTCAGGCTCCCATGTGTGCATTTTGAAATCCTTTTTTGACTGGGAGAGAAGGACGTTGCAACCAGCAAACCACAGCCTGCACACAGCCCTGGCACACCTGTGTCCTGGCCATGAACTCCTCATAGCCAAAGCTGCAGCAGAGACTAGGAGGGGTTGGGGGAAGGGGGTCAGCGCAGCCTGGAGAGGGTAACACACGGATGTTCTTCTCTGATCAGGGCCTGCCTTGATTTCTCCTGTTGACCCCAGCATTCTCGCCATCATTTTGATGTGTGAGAACGTCAGGCCCTCTCTGAGGCTAGACATTTGGGGAGAAGGCTGTGGACGGTGCTCACCATTGTCTGCCTGAGGCTGCAGAGGACAATGTGCTGGTCGGTATCTTCTCAGGTGTCTTCCGTTCTTGGTAGACTCATGGCATCGTGGGAAGCCCTGGGGCGTTTGTCTCACAGAGGGGGCCTTAAATTCCAGCTCTTCCACCCACTAATGGGAGAATCCTGGGCCTGGGCAGGGGTGAGCTTCATGTTCCCAATTTCCAAGCAGACACAGTGTGCCTACCTTCCCCAGAGATTTTGTGAGAGGTGTGTCTGAGTATTCTGTACGTGATTCTCTTAGTCTTGCTGGCCATCGCACTCCAGCCAAAGTAGGAAGGCCAGAGGTTATGACCTCCATTTTAGCTTTGAGAAGATTAAGGTGCAGGGGTGTTAATGATTCATTTACAGCAGAGCTGGGTGCAGACCCCAATTTGGCCTCAGGCTTGGTCCGGGGCTCCTCCTGGCAACCCTCCTCTTGCTCCTCCCTAGCAAAGCCCCTGAGCTCCGAAAAGGGCAGGAGGAAGGAGCCGAGCAGGGCAGCCTCATCCGCGTGGCCGGAAATCTGTCTGTGGCCCCTTCCTTTGACTGTAGCAGGGCCCAGAATGAATCCCTATTTCTGAACACAGGGATGCCCAGGCCGTGTGTGTGTGTGTGGGGAGGAGGAGCAGAAGGCCAGACTGACAGTACGGACTTGAACTTCCGAGGTCTCCTTCAGGTCTGTCTTTATGACCACTCCTTGACCATATTCACTTCCTACCTGGATGATGGGGAGGGGGAGGGGGCAGACCCTGGATCATGAGCATAGGATGAGGTGCTGCAGGTGAACAGCACTGACCTGGCCAGGGCTCCTCTGCCTTGTTCCTGGCTCCTCCTCTCAGAAGCAGAACAGCAGCCCGCTCTCTAGAGGCTGAGCAAATGCAGAGAGCGGCACCTGGACATTGGGAACGTCAGCCAGTGTCACATCATGAGCACTGTGATCAGGGACAGCAGTGCCTCCCAGCACTAGGAAAGCAATTACAGTCATCCCCCCACATCTGACGGGGACTGGTCCCAGGATCCCCCATGGATACTAAACCCCACGGACGTGCAAGTCCCTACGTGAAATGGCGCAGTAGTTGCATAGGACCTACACACATCCCTCTGTACTGTAGATCATCTCTAGGTGACTTGTAATACCTAAAACAATGCAAATGCTGTGCAAACCGTTGTTAGACTGTACTGTATCAAGAATAATGACAAGAAAAAAAGTCTGTGCATGTTCAGTACAGATCAGATGCAATTTTTTTCCCTTGAATCTTTTCCACTCACAGTTGGTTGAGTCCATGGATTCTAAGCCCAAAGATACAGAGAGTTGATGATGTGACCTGCAGATGGGCAGGGGGCAGAGGGCCCTGGGGAGTAGCTCCTGAGTGCAATTTGAGTGGTGATGGTCAGTGGGCCATGGGAAACCCCTGGTTTGAGAACCGAGCGCACACAAGTGCCTGCCTTCCCTGTGGCTGCCGTGAGCAGGGCCAGCTCTGGGGCATTTGGAGTCTGCTGTGCACACACTGAGTCACTTAGGAAGGAAGGAAGGAAGGAAGGAGGGAGGGAAGGAAGGAGGGAGGGAAGGAAGGGCAGGCTGGTCTGGTGTGGAAGGGCTTCTTCTTGTTTCTAGCCTGCGGGGACGCCAGCTCCCTTGGGGAGTGTCGACCATCTCGACTCCCCTGATGGCTCCAGGACCAGCAGCTCCAAGGTACAGTATAGGCGCCAGTCCCACAGGGCCTCTCTCAGCATGGACAGAGAAAGGCACCCACTGGGGCCTTTATGGCTGTTGGCCCTCAGGCCCTCTGTTTCCCCTGAGCTCTAGCTGGTCACGGAATTTATCACCATGGCTTTTGAGTCTCTGGCACCTGCTGATGACGAGTGGCTGGCATCTTCAGACACCTGTCACAGGGTCAGGCCACGCATGCACCAGGACACTGGGACCTCAGCCCTGGGATGTGGACTTTCAGAACACCATTAAAGGAGGGAAACCCTTCACACACCACCATACCTCAAAGGGACAGGCGACAAGGATGCCGGAGGCACTTCTTCACAGGACCACCAAGTCACAACAGTCACACTCACAGGCTCTTTGAACAGGCCTCTCCAGCTTCCCCTGACGTGCAGCTACCCAGCTGGAGCCCTGACCCCTGACCCTTTAGAGGGACGAGGCTCCAAAGATGCTGTCCACTTAGACTGGTCCAGGCTGTCTGATGCAGTGTGGCAAAAGGCCCGGGAAGGCCAGCTCTGGCCCCGCTCTCCCATGCTTAGCTGTTCCTGTGTGCTGAGTACGTCATTCGGTCCCTCTGAACTTCAGGGTCCTCGCGTATAGATTAGGGGGAGACTTGAATGTCGTCAGGACCTGTTCCAGTTCTAAGGGGTCATGGTTTCCTCTTTCTCCCCTGAATACTCATCAGAGTGAGGGCTTCTTATCAATGGCTCATCAGGGGCTGGGTTCTGTCCCACTCAGCCCTTGCTGCAAACCTCTGAAGCAGGCACTGTCATGGTGCCATCTGACAAAGGAGGAATTGAGCCTCCCACATGGTCACAGCGATGGCACCGACACCAGTCACCGTGTTTTATACCATGAGTTTCTTGAACTGCAATGTTGTTGTAGGGACAAACGAGGCAAGGCCGGGGGACTTGGAACTGTCTCAAGTGCTGTATGTCTGAAGTGGCACCCCCTTTCTCCACTGAAAGGGCCTCTCCAGAAATCTTCACCCAGACTGATTTTAGAACTGTCAGCAAAAGAGTCTCTGCAAAAGAGTTCAATGTAGATAAACTTCCTATTTCCGTGTTGCCCTGTTTACTTGGCCACTGGCCGAGAAGATACCAGCACTCCAGGTGCTGGACACCCCCTTACTAGTTTTTCACAAACGTATCCAGTATAGTACTTTGTGGAAATATGCAAACAAGGCCTCTGGCCTTGAGCTGGGCTTCACAGAGATGTCTACATTTTTAAGATAAGTTACAAAGGCTCCACGGTAACAGCTGGCAGGGGGAGGAAAGAAAGGGGAGAGGATGCTCTCCCCTTCTCAGGTGCTGTCCTTGAAGGGTTAACTTGCCCAAAACAGTGAAAGAAAAAGCTACTTTTATGTGAACTTCTGCAGACTATGAACTTCTGAGCCCCTCCCCTTACATGCTGGGTATAAAACTCTGAAACTCCCTGAACTCGGGGTTCAGGGGATTGATTGATGACAGCAAAAGCTGTGCCCTCTGAACCTGGCTGCAGCCAAATAAAACTGTTTCCTGCTATCTTCGGTGCCTGGCCTCATTTGTCCCTACAACATGTCCAACATGTTTTCCTGCGAAGCTGTCTGATAAAGGCTGGGGCTAGAATCTCCGGGATGGCTCTGCCGGCCATCAGAAAATCTCCACCATCCACCTGGGAGAAAATTTTCTTTTTCAGTCTTAAATCACTTACTTTCATGTTGGGAGTATGTGGGCTATTCTGTTAGCTAGTCGGCCTGGCAGAAGGGCAGCATTTAAACCTGGGACTGGATTTTCTTCCCGTTTCTTGCAGACAGCTAACCTGGCCTCTCTGTCAGCTCTCCGATTGCTCTGAGAAACCACCGTGGTGTTTCCCTTTCGATGACCTTGGCAACATATAATCACAACCTTCCTGGGAGCCCACAGTGTATCCAAAAGTTTAAGAATTTCTTGCCCATCCATCATCCCCCTTTTCCTTACATAAGGCCCTATGAACATGAAGGGTAGCAAACGCATATTTTGAGTCTATGTAAATATCCACACAGACTCCTGCTGTCAACTGAGGTGCTTGAGTCAAAGCAATAAGTCTTACTTTTTGTGCTGAAGTTCCCTGAGGCAGAGGTTCTGCCTACAGTGGAGTCCAGAATGACCACTGCATATCCAGCAAAACATACTCCATCTTTTATAAAACTGCTTCCATCTG